CTTCGGCCCGGCCTTCCTCTGGGTAATCACTCTAGTACACTTGGAAACAAACCTTTTCCCCACTGAGGCAGCCGGTTTTTCCCCTACTTAGCAAACATTGATTTTTTTCCCTCCCCCCGTGTGGCCGGCCTCGCCGCAGAACGAACAAGCCTCCTTTGTTCCCGGGCCCCCGCCCCCGCCCCCGCCCCGCCGCTCGTGGCACTTCCGTCGGGCGCCAGCAGGGGGCAGGAGATTCTCTGTTTTGAGGGCCACCCCTGGGGGTGCTCCGGCTGGGCTGGCCTCCGGTGGGGGGCAGCCTTGTGGGGGGGTGGGGGGACCAGCAGCCGAGGGGGCCAAGACGCCTCTGCTGGACGGGGGTGGGGTGGGGACGGCCCCGGTGTGCTGGGACGACCTGGGTCGGGTCGGGAAACGTCTGAAGCCGTGAGGAGTGGCAGCAGCAGGACTGATTAGATGAGGCCGCCGAGGTCCCCAGTGGGTCCCCCGGGAGCCCCTGCTGAGTGGCCCCGACCCCGCACCTCTGCTCGCGGACCGCCCTCCTCGGACGGCCATTGCGTGCTTCCCTCCGCAGACGCCGGCGGGGCTCGGAGCTGCCCGCGGAAGGGGCATTGCTGCTGACAGCTGGGGAAACTGAGGCCAGGGCTGTCTGGGGGCGACGCTCCCCACAGCCCTGGCCCTCTCTCTGGCCGACGTCCCGGGGTCGGGGGGAGCAGCTTCCAGGACGGCGGCGGTTGGCGGCGGTGCCCGGGCGTGTGCAGGTACAGAGCCCCCCTCCCCGTGGTCTGGGCCAGGCCGCTCGCCCCCGACCCGCAGCAAACTGCACAGCTGTGCGCCATGGTTCCCGGGATCCGGCCACCCGGTGGCTGTGGCTGCCGTCTTGGGGGCTCCCTCCCTCTCTCCCTCTCCCTCCACCTCGTTGTTCCTTCTGAGGGAGGCCACCTGGAAGGACCCCACACATTGGAGGACGGAGGCCTGCGCACAGCCCCGTGGGCGTGGTCGGAAGCCGAAGCCCCCGTAGCCTTCAGGTGAGACCACAGCCCTGCCGGCAACCTGCCGGTCACCTCGTGAGAGGCCCGTGCCGTGGGCACCGGTGGGCCGCACCCAGATTTGAGGCCTGTGGAAACTGAGATCAGGAATGTCCACTGTTTTCAGCAGCTGAGTTTGGGGTCCCCTTGTGACGTGGCGATAAAGAACGAGCAGGGCCCCTCCCTGCCGTGTGGAGCCGGAGCTGCCGACCCCCACACCTGCGCAGCCCGCTCTCCTCCGGCAGGGGCTGCGGGCCGCATGGGCCCCTTGAATTCTGCTGTTGAAGTTCCAACCCCCAGGACCCCCGGACGCGACCTTATTTGGGAGTAGGGTCTTTGCAGGTGATCCAGTTTAGATGAGGCTGTTGGGGTGGCCCCGGTCCCAGATGGCTGTGTTCTGGCAGCAAAGGGGAACTTGGCCGCGGCCGCACGCTCCGGGAGCGCGCCAGGTGACGGCTGGAGTCACACTGCTGCCGGCCGGGGTGCCCCCAGCAGCCGGAGAGAAGCCTGGGACGGACAGACGCTTCCCCGGTGCATTCGGGGGACCCCAGCCCCGGTCTTGAACTTCCCATTCGGAAGGAAGACCATAGGTCTGACCCTTCAGTGATGGAAGGGTCAGGGGCGCCAATCGCCCTCCAAGTCAAAAATCCAAATACAAGGTAAGTCAGCCCTCCGCAGCAGAGGGTGCCCCCTTCCGCCACCAGGAGAGGAAAGGTGGGGTGGGGGAGGGAGGGGGAGAGAGAAGATCACTGAACAGAAGGCTGGCTGGATGGGTGGGTGGGCAGGTGGGTGGGAGGGTAGGCGCATGAAAAGCTGAGTGGGCGAGTTGGTGATGGATGAGTGGATGGATGTGAGTGGACAGATGGCTGGGTGGGTGGGTAGGTGGGTGGGTGGGTGGGTGGATGGATGGGTCGGTGGGTAGGTGGGTAGGTGGGTGTGTGGGTAGGTGGGTGGGTGCATGGGTGGGTGGTGGATGGATGGTGGGTGGGTGGGTCACAGGTGGATGGGGGTGCCAGGAGACTGGGTGGACCGAGACGCATGAGTGGATGCGGCAACGCCCGGGGTGCGTGGGCGGGTGGTGCAGGCCCCACCTGGAGACTCACAGGGGCTGGGCCACCAGGAAGGACGCTCAGGGCTGGGCTCCCCTGGAAACCACGGGGGGGCGGGGGGGGGGGCGGAGGCCGGGCCGGCACGGCTTCCCCGCCCGCGTGCACCGCTCTCCCTCGCAGGAGCAGTGTCCACCGTGTGGTCTGCGGTCGCCCGTGCCCTTCAGGTCGCCGGTGGACGCCGGACCAGGCCCACGGCGAGCAGGGTGTGGCTGCCAGACGTCCGCCGGCACTAATGAGCCCCGTCTGCGGGTCACTAATTGGCGGAGGGTCTGGGCTCCAGGGACGCACGGACCCAGGGACGATGGGACCGGGCGCTGCCTCCAGCCCCCACCCAGCCTTGGGGGGCCCCAGCCGGCTGACCCAGGCAGGGGGAAGCAGGGGTGCCCAGCAGACCCGGGGCTGCCTGCTCCCGAGCATGGGTGCCTGGCGGCTTCCCGAGGTTCTCCGCGACTGTCTGCCTCCGTCACGGGCCGGGGCTCCTCCAAGGGCATGGGGGGGGCGCCACGAGGGGGTGACCTCGGGGGCGGGGGCGAGAGCCCGCCTGCCCGCCCGCGCGGGACGGAAGCAAACGCCCCCCAGGATAATCACGGCGGCGAGCCTGGCCCTGCGGAGGGAGATGGAGTTACAGCCAGTTCGCCCATAAACTTGTTCAAGCGATTTACGAGGCCTGGCCGGCCCGGGTGGGGGCAGGGCCGCCGCGGACCGGCTGGCTTCTGGCTGGAGCCGGCAGAGGGGACGCCGTCCTTGAGAGGGAGCCACCTGGGCGGCGGGCGCTCGGCCGTGAAACGCGTCTGCGGCGCCGAACGTCCCATCCGCTCAGGTGTCGGGGACCCTGCGGACGTGGGCACCGGACCCCTGGGGTCCTCGCGAGGCGGACCGACCCGGTGGTCCGGGGGACGTCATGCAGGGCCGAGAGGAGGTTCCCAGGCCCCTGAGAGCCGTGGCCTGGGATTTCCGCCCCGCGGGGAGCTGGAAACCGACCCAATGTCACGTAGGCTGTGGCTCATAAACCCACCCGGTTTTCTCAGCGGCCACGTGGTGTCCCCCCCACCCCCACCCCCCAGCATCCCACGTCTGGGTGGCAGGGTCTCAGAGCCTCCCCACCGCTCTCCACGTGGGGACGGCCCGCCAGCTGGGTGAGACGCTGGCGGGGAGAGTCTCCGCCGAGCCCAGGGCCGACCTGGGCACAGCCACCGGGGAGCTGGCGCTGCCTGACGCCGGAGCCCGGAGCAGGGGAGGGGGTGCGCCCGAGGGGCTGCGTGTCTCCGTGGACGGAGGGGAGTGTGGGGGTGGGGACAGCTCCCCAGGCTGCTCTGCGGGGCGGGCGGGGGGGCCCGGACCTGAGGCAGAGGGCAGCGCGTCCCCCAGGCACAGCCAAGCGTGAAAACGGGTCCCGGGAAAGCTCTGCCGGCTCTGCTTAGAGCCGCTGCCCCGGCCGCCGCGGCTCCGTGCCCGAGGGCCTGCAGGGGGGGCAGGGGCCGCAGAGGGACGGCCGGGTTCCAGGCCAGGTCGAGGGTGGAAGTGCCCAGCCCTGGCTCAGAGCCAGCGGGGGTGGCGTGTGCCTGTGAGGCCCCACAGTGGTGGTGGCGGAGGGTGGTCCGGGCTCTGCAACCTGGGGGTCTGTGGTCACAACGCAGCACTGGCTGTGCCGCACGGCGGAGCCGCTGTCAGTCCTCAGGGTCCCCGGGAGGGAGGATCCGCAGGACGCCCCATGTCCACCGGCTCCTGCCTGGGCTCAGCCGCGCCGGTGCCACTTGTCCCCAGCTCAGGCTGGCCCAGCGGGCGGGCAGGTGGGCTGGAGGGCGGCTTGAGACGTGTTCCCCAAGCTACCCCCACCCTCCTTAAGGGACAGGAAGCTGGGTCACTAGGCCTCACCCACCCCAGGTGCCTCCCGAGCTGCAGACCAGGGTCTGGGCCGGAGCTGCTGCCCCAGGTGCTGTGGGGGCTGCAGCGGCCCCTCGGGGACTCGGCTCGGTGGCCTGGTCATTTCTGACTGTGCGTCCGTGGGCTTGGCTGACTGTGTGAGCGGCTCCCCTTGAGGCTGCCCGCAGGGACCCTCACCTGCCCACCGAATTGCCAACCCCTCGGACCACTGGAAGTCGCCCTGGGTCAGCGTTCCTGGGGCTGTCGAGTGCCAGGAGGGGCCCTGACCTTGACCCAGACCAGGGACACATGTGCCTTCCGCAGAGAGAGCCAGCAGGCCCAGCTGGGTGCCTGCCCTGTGGGACAGAGAGCCAGGGCTCTTGAGATAAAGAAAAGAGAAGGCCCCGAGGGCTTCCTGGAGGAGTCTGCATTCAACAAGAATGTTCTAAGTTCCGGATGTGATGGGGCTGTGGGCACCATGCCTCCCGCCCAGACCTGTGCCTGGTGCTGGGCCACTCCTCAGCAAGGGAAGCCTGTCTCTGTCCCTCCACAGACTGCAGCCCAGCTGGCCAGGGACGCCCGTGGTCTGGGCAGGCCCGGGCCGGGCTGCCTCCCTCGGTTCTGAGGCTGCCGCTCAGCTCCACGGGCCGGTGATGGCGCCGTGTGTGGGTGCGGCCCGCCTGCCTCGGCTGGGTGTCCTACCAGCTGGGGAGCACCGGGGCCTCCGGCCCCGCCCCGAGGGCCCCTGACGCTGGTGAGGACAGTCATCGCCACGGCTGGATTGTTACATATGTGACTGTCACCCCTGAAAAGGCCTCAGCAGCCCGTGCCCCGAAGGAGAGCAGACCTGCGGGTGGGCGGAGGGCTCTCGGGGCCCCGTCTGCGAGTCTGTGCGGGGGACGCCCCGGGAACCGCGGAACCCCACGCCCCCTGGGCTTCCGGAGGGGCCTGCCGTGTAACAGAGGGGCCCGTCCTCACTCGGAGACGCCCAGGGGAGGGTGCGGACATGGCTGACGCCCACGCGCTAGACGCCCCGGCGGTCATTTTCGACAATGGGTCTGGGCTGTGCAAGGCCGGGCTGTCCGGGGAGATCGGGCCCCGCCACGTGGTCAGCACCGTGGTGGGGCACCCCAAGTTCCCCGTGGCCTCGGCGGGGGCCGCCCAGAAGCTCTTTGTCGGGGAGGAGGCCCTGCACAAGGGCGACACCCTGCACCTGTGCCGCCCCATCGAGCGCGGCCTGGTCACCAGCTGGGACGCCATGGAGGCGCTCTGGAGGCACCTGTTCGAGTGGGAGCTGGGCGTGAAGGCCTGTGGCCAGCCGGTGCTGGTGACCGAGCCCGCCCTGAACCCCAGGGAGGCCCGGGAGAAGGTGGCCGAGCTCATGTTCGAGACCTTCCAGGTGCCGGCCTTCTACCTGTCGGACCAGGCCGTGCTGGCGCTCTACGCCTCGGCCTGCGTCACGGGCCTGGTGGTGGACAGCGGGGACGGCGTCACCTGCACCGTGCCCATCTTCGAGGGCTACTCGCTGCCCCACGCGGTCGGCAAGCTGCACGTGGCGGGGCGGGACATCACGGAGCACCTGGCGCAGCTGCTGCGGGCGGGCGGGCGGGCCTTCGCCTGCGGGCTGAGCACGGCGCTGCTGGACGACATCAAGGAGAAGCTGTGCTACGTGGCGCTGGAGCCGGCGCGGGAGCTGGCCCGGAGGCCCGAGGAGGTGCTGCGGGAGTACAAGCTGCCGGACGGCAGCCTCGTCCAGATCGGCGACCAGCTGTTCCAGGCGCCCGAGGCCCTGTTCGCGCCCCAGCAGCTGGGCCTGCAGAGCCCCGGCCTCGCCCAGATGGTCTCGTGCAGCGTGGCCAAGTGCGACGCCGACGTCCAGAACACCCTCTACGGGGAGATCGTGCTCTCGGGGGGCACCACCCTGTTCCCGGGGCTGGACGACCGGCTGCTGAAGGAGCTGGAGCGGCTGGCCTCCAAGGGGACCCCCATCAAGATCACGGCGCCCCCCGACCGGTGGTTCTCCACCTGGATCGGGGCCTCCATCGTCACCTCCCTGAGCAGCTTCCGGCAGATGTGGGTCACCTCGGCCGACTTCAAGGAGTTCGGGACGTCCGTGGTCCAGAGGAGATGCTTCTGAGGGGCCCGCGCCTGGGGCGGTGCCCCTGGGCGGAGAGCGCCCCCCCCACCCCCATGTTGGCCGGGTGTCCAATAAAGAGGTGCATGCAGCCTCGGGCCACGCCCGGCTCGGCCCACTCTTTGCGGCACCAGAATGACCTCTGACCCCGGTGGAGAGTCGTGTGTGTGTGTGTGGGGGGGGGGGGCGGGGGGGCCTGTCCCCGCCCCCTCCCCTCCTCCTGGGAAAGCCCTGGGCTGGGTCGGGCCATGCCCACCTGCAGGGTGTGGGCCGAAAGCCCGGGTCCGGGCCTCCTGCCCGGAGCCTGAGCCTGGAGGGCCCCGGTGGGGGTCTGCGTTTTAAACACGTGTCACGGGTGGGTCCGTGACAGCCAGGGAGAGCCGCCTGTTCCAGGGGAGCAACCCTCAGTCGGGCAGGGGGTCAGCACCGCAGGGCCCTTGCTCTGCTTCCACGGGGCCGGGCGGCCGGGCAGGAGGGACCCCTGGTCCTGGGCGGACGGTGGGCGGGACCAGCAGAAGTCGCCGCCCCCTGCAGGACCCTCTCGGGGTTCGCTCCCAGGAGCCCGTGCGGGTCCACGCGGTAACCTCCGGGGCTCTTTCTGCCTGTTTCTCTGTCCTGAGGTGCCGCCGACGGCTTCGTGGAGGAGCCGGCGGCCACCGGTGCCGTGAGAGCGAAGGAAGGAGGAGGCGGCCCGTGCCCTGTTGGGAGGCGGGCGGCGTGTGCCGTGTCCGAGGACATTCGGTGGTCGGGCCATTTTCAAACCCAGCGTTGCCGACCTGTGTTTTTACCGGTGAATTTAGACAGTTTACGGTTAGAGTGACGTGTTCAGCCTTAAGTCTGCCACTTTATTTTCTGTCCCTCCCACCCCACCCCCGTGTTCCTTGTTCTTTTTTCCTTACCTTCCCGTGGGTTACTCACCCATTTTTTGGGGGTTCTATCTTATTTATGGGATTTTGTATGGTATTTCTTAGTGATGGTGCCAGGCACCCTGCGGACCCCCCGGCGCTGACATCTTACCGCTTGGACTGAGTGCAGAAAACGGACTCCCACTCAGGTCCCTTGGCCCTCCCAACTTTAGCGCAGAACGGTCTTCAGTGTCCCCTCTGTGCACGTCCAGCACAGCCTCAGAGAGGGCTAAGATGTTCCCTTTAGCCCCGGCCGGGGTGGCTCAGTGGATCGGGTGCCGGCCTGCGAACCCAAGGGTCGCCAGTTCGATGCCCAGTCAGGGCACGTGCCTGGGTTGTGGGCCAGGTCCCCAGCAGGGGGCAGGGGAGAGGCATCCATACCTTGATGTTTCTCTCTTCCTCTTTCTCCCTCCCTTCCCCGCTCTCTAAAAATAAATAAATAAAGTCTTCAAAAAAAAAGAAATTTTTTCCTTCAACCATCAAATGATTCAAGATGCTTGCGAGAAGGCCCGTCTCCCGCAGGTGCCCCCGCTGGTGCCCAGCCCCGAGTTCTGCTCTTCCGGGAGTTCCGCGCCCTTCCACGCCCCTGTTCCCTCTCCGTTCTGCCCAGAGACTCACTCGAGCTGGTTTCTAAGAACAGGGTTGCCGGCAACGGGATTTCCTAGTTTTATTTCCCTGTCATCCCCGAGAACGTTCCGGCTGGGAACGGAAGTTCTGGGGAACCGTTTTCCTCCAGCACTTGCAGAGCGCCGCGCCGGGTCCCCCTCCCCCGCCGCCCCCGGGGCTTCAGGTCAGAAAGCGCCTGCTCTTCTCCGGGGGGGCCCCCCTCAGGTGCCGAGTCACAGGGGGTCCCCCTCAGGTGCTGAGTCACAGGGGGTCCCCTCAGGGCCCGAGTCACAGGGGGTCCCCTCAGGTGCCGAGTTGTCCCTCTCGGGCTGCTTCCCAGAGGTTTCCCGTCCTCAGTGCTCAGAAGCCTGGCGGGGTGTCTCGGTGTGGACGTTTCCTGGTTCATCCTCTTTGGGGTTCACCCAGCCTCTGGAGTCTGTAGATTCATGTCTCTGGCCAAATCCGGGAGGTCCCGGGCTGCAGCGCCCTGGGGCACTTCTCCAGCCGCACTCCGGTTCTCCCTCCTCCGGGGTCTCCGGACGCCCAGGGGCTGGCGGTCTCCGCGCCATCCCGCAGGCCCCCGGGACTTCGTCGGTCATTTTCACGTCGCCCCCCCCCACCCCACCTCTTGCTCACGCTGGGCCCGGTCTGCCCGAGTGTCCCCCGAGCCCGCCCCCTGCCCTCCCCCTCCCCCCGAGCCTCCGGGCCGTTTCCCTTCTGCTGTGTCTTTCAGTCTGATCATTCCCGTTGGGTTCTCTTTTCATCACGTGGCTCTCTCTCTTCCTTTCTTTGCCGGGATTTTCCTGTTTTGCGTTTGTTTCGAGGGAAATGATCGTCACTCCCTGAGGCAGGGTCGCCGCGGCCGCCTCAAAGTCCTGGCCCGGGTAACTCCCACGCCCGAGCCCCCTGTCGCCCCGCAGGGGCCTTTCTCCCTCGGTTTACCGGGTCTGTGCCCCGGCCCGCTCCTGTTCAGTCCTGTTTTCTGGTGGGCACCCCCCCCCCCCGTTGAGGGGTAGCACCAGGGCCGATGGGTGGGTGGGTGCGGTTTTCCGGTGGGCCCTGCAGAAACCCCCCAGAAGTCCCCCAGGCACTCGGCCTCACTGCAGGGGGTGGGGTGCGGGTTCAGTGCCCCGTTTGGCCCCACTGAACCCTCCCCCAGGGGGGAATTGGTGCTGACTACCACCACCTCGGTGCCTCTGAGTGGGGAGAAGGAGAGTGCTCAGCGTGCCCTTGGGCTCAGCTGACCCCTGGGCGGGGCGGGGGGCAGGGTGCTCGTCCTCCTCCCGCTGCCTCCTTCCATCTCGCTAATCCTGGGTGGGGCTGGAGGGTCTGGGCCCCCCGGGCCCCCCTGGGCCCCCCTGGACCCCACAGATGCCAGGGCAGGGGGAAGGTTGCTGATCGAACCTGGCTCACGCCACCTGTTCAGTCTCACTGCTGCTGGGTGGGGCTGGGGGCTAACTCACCCCTGGACCCCACGACCACCACCCCTGCCAGGAGCCTGGGTGTCACCGACCTCTGCTGAGCGGGGATGAAGCAGCCCCCTGCTCAGTCCTGCGACACCACCCAGCAGGGGACCCGGGGACCCTGGAGGTGGGGCGTGGGGTGCACAGGAGGTGGAGCTGGGTGGGGCGGTGTGCAAGATCAGCTCCCACTCTGCCTGCGGAGACCACAGCGGCGGCGCGTGGGTCCCGTCGGCTGGGGTGGGGAGGGTAGACCCCAAAGGCGTCCTGTGGTGAGGCCCCACTCCCACTCTGTGGTGGGAGCAGACTTCCCTTGGTGCTATTTCAGCGGGTGCCCTTGGAGATTCGGGGTCGGGGCTGCGCATCGCACCCCGTGTGGGTGTGGGGTGCCACCTGGGCTCTCAGTTGTAAGACGGGGGACCTGGGAGGAGTGGGTCCCCGAGTAACCTTCTTCTTCCTTTCCATCATTCCTGGAGGTCACAAGGATGCCTGGAGAGGCCCCCGGGCCCCCGCCCTCAGTGGCCTCCCTGTCGGGGTCACCGTGCACAGGTGAGAGGGCCAGGCTCAGGAGTGGCGGCCTTCCGAAACGGAGCAGGGGGGTGGGAGCGGAGCTCACCCCAGGCCGCCGGGCCAGGCCTCTGTCCCCCGAGCAGGTCTCCACACCTTGTCCCGGGGGGGACCCTCCCCAAGTGACCCTCCTCGGGAAGTAACCTGCAGCTCACCCGCCCCATGCTGGTCCTCTGATGGGGCCACGGCTCGACCGCTGTGGCTGCGGGGGGGTGGGGGGAGAGGAGGAGGAGGATGGTGGGGAGGATGGTGGTGATGATGGTGAGGATGGTGATAATGATGGTGATGGTGGTGATGATGGTATTGGTGATGGTGAGGATGGTGATGGTGATGATGATAAAGGTGGCAACAGTGGTGGTGACAGTGATTTTCTGACCTCTAGGTCATCTTCAGCACTGTGTCCTTGGGACAAAGGGCCTATGTCGGTGGCAAAGGGCCCATCCCTCCACGGGGACAGAGCTGGGGACCGAGGAAGTGCAGGGTGGGAATTCTGAGTTGTGCAGCCAGCTCACGCTCTGCACTTGGACAGCACCCTCACAAAATGGGGGTACACCACAGCCGTGAGGGTGCCCACTGCACAGCCCCTGTACACCACTGGCACGGATGCCAGGTTGCCAGTCGTCCGTGGGCGCCGGAGCCCCAGGTGCCTGGAGTCCCTGTCTGGCACCCCCCAGCCCTCAGCCCCGTGGCCTGGAGCCAGCCCCTGTGTGGGGAGCTCGCCCCGACCTTCCAGCACAGGTGGGCATCAGGAGGGGGGCGCCAGCCCCTGCCAGGACGGCGGTGAGCAGATCTCGACAGGACAGGCTGGCCTGCCACACTGCCCCTCCCCCGCAGGGGCTGAGGGCCCGCAGCCGGACAGCCCACGGCCTGGGGTGGGGCTCTGGACTCCCTTGCCTCGGCCCCCCGCAGCCAGTGGGCAGACGGACGACCCCGGGCCCTGAACCCACACCCGCAGGCCCCACCCCTTGATCCTGCCCCTTCTGCCCTTCCCCAGACATAGGGACCCGGCTCTTCTGCCCCCGGGGCGGGGCTCCCGGGGCAGGTGGGGAGCCTGACGTGGGGACCCGAGGCCCCCGTGGCTGCACGGGAGACCCGTCGGCAGACGAGCTCCAGCTGGGGCCGGTCACGCAGCACACGGCTTCTGGCCCCACGTGAGCGGGGCGGTGCGGGCGCCCGGAGTCCCGGCTCTCGCTCTGGGCGCTCAGCGCACACGGTGAGAGGGCCGAGGGCCGGGGGCCGCCCCCCAGGAGGGGGTCCGGGGCCAACGCAGAAGGCCAGGACGCTGCCCGAGGTGGCTCCAGCCCTCTGTTGTGGCTGAGGGGCATTCCCCGTCCGGAGAGGGCGCAGGACCGGGGCCGGACTCAGGGTCAGCCTGGCCAGCCGCAGGCACAAGGCCCTGGGGGCACAGTTGGAGCCTCAAAGGGGACGGGTCTGGCTCTCCAGCCACCCGCAGGCCCCTGGACAA